GGAGAAGCTCAAACGGCGGAAATCTACGCCTAATTAAGGAAGCCCGCTTCACACCTTCGGCCGCTCACGCCTCTTGTGTGCTTCCTTCCGTTATTTCTGTATGCACCGAGCACCGAGCCAGAGAAACTTGCATGTGATCCCGGCCGTGGAGCCTGGCCGGAGGAAGTACTGCAACGGTCACCGGAAAGCCTCGGCTTCCTACACTCGGAAAAGTTACGGATTTATTACGGACATGCAGTATGTTACTCCCGCGCGCGAGTGTGGGTGTTCGGTGGGAAATCGCGCAAATATTAACCGCCGGTTATCGAAGAGAGAATAAAGAAAGAAAAAAAGAGAGAGAAGAAAAAAAGAAAAAGAAAGAACAAACAAAAGAAAAAGAGAAAAAAAGAAAAACAAAAGAAAAAAAATAAAGAAAGATAGAAAGAAAAAAAAATAAGAAAGAAAGAAAAAAAAATTAAAAAAGAGAAAAAAGATAGTAGTAGTAAAATAATTTTATTTTAAAGCGGTAAAAATGTAATAAAAAGAAAGAAACAAACAAACCATTTAAAAAAAAGAATGAAAGAATAAAAATCTAAAAGAAAAATAAAAAAAAGGACGCGAGGGAGACGGTAACATGGTTCGGGATTACGCCCGTTGAAGAACGTTTACGTTCCTACCCCTGCGTTTGAGTCACCAGAGTTGCCCACCATAAAAATAGAGAGCGTATGTCAGTCATGGGCATCTGCTAAGCCTAGCGTATTTGTAAAGATTTCCTGACTCGGTATGACTAAAAAAAAGATCTATGATAAAGATTGCCAATCATTGAATTGGTTTGGAAACTTCTGACACTTTGCTTTTTCTTTAGGTATGCTAAAAATTATTCAAATGAAAAGAAAAGGGGGGAAAATAAGTAGAAAATTGCGTGATTATAAACCGTCATTCATCGATAAAAGGAAAAGGGCAGCGAGGGAGACGGTGGCGCGGTTCAGGATTACACCCATTGGAAAACGTTTACTTTCCTATCCCTGCGTTCAAGTCACTGGCGACGTTCACAGAAATGACGGGGTTTATTGCGATTTCCTCTCGTCATTTTCTTTCGGAGCGTTCAGATTTAAGATACTTTACATAAATTCCTTCAGTAAGTAATTAAAAAGCAGGATAAATGACCGTTGGAGACTGCATGAGGGGGGAAAATCCCCTTCGTGCTACAACGAACTTACAAGAGATGTTGCGCTGGGAGTAACCGATTTCGAGGCAGCATGGGGTACATTAAGGGACCGTTTGACGGGTTTGCCCCCGAATCCAGGCAGAAAAAAAGCTTCTGAAGGATATCTGGAAACTCCTTTAAGCTTTGAGAGTGAGTCGCGGGTAATAGAGAGAAAATAGAAATACAGCTGTATACCGATGCGTGGACCGTTACAACTGATTAATGCCGACTTGGAGCTGAGGAAAAAATCAACTTGAACAACTTTTAAGTCCGCAGCGTCCGAAACCGAAGTTAGAATCACTTAGGACCAGAAATTAGCAAATCAAATGAGAAGCGAGAAAAAAATCCCAGATGCGACTCGTTAAATCGTTTTCCAACGGAGTTTCCTAATCCCGGATCGTCCCGGCTCGAGTCCAGGATCCCGAACTTGCTCCAGCACTGCCGCCAGACTTAAATTTTAATTATGCTCACAGAGCTGAACGGGGGAAAAATTGCTTACCTCTTTCAACCAGATCCATCTCTTCGGGGAAGATGGGAAGGGTGCAAAGAAGTATCTATTCAGGATCTTTCAAAATTCAGTCCACCTTTTAAAGAAATACATAGTAAAAATCTGTCTGTTGATTGGGTTGTATTGAAAACTTCATTGATTTCTCTTCTCAGAGTTGCCACGGGATTTAGAGAATGAAATTCCCTGACATTTCCTTGATTTCTCCGTCAAATTTTGGTAAAATTCCTGACAATATTGAGGATACGCCGGATTTAAAAATACATGATTTGAAAGAGTTTTCCGGCAAAATTTGTTGCTCGAAACGTCAAACCCACTAGTGAAAGCAAATAAAGGGGACTTGACGATTTTCCCCTGACATTTTTGTCACTTTCCTTGACATTTCCAGGTTTTCTCTGACTTTTTAAAATTCCCTACATTTCCCAGTTTTCCCTGACTGCAGCAGCCCTGTCTTCTTTACTAGTAGAATATCCAATATAAATTTCAAGATACAGAGTTTACTTCTCTCGAAAAAAAAAATACTAGGAGTAGAAATTCTGAAAGAACGCAATGGAGATACGTGGTTTCGTACTTAAACCATCTACTCGGTAAATTCACGAAGGGAAAAACGGAGGTTTTGGCGGCGATCCGGCACCGGTGTCCGGAGAAGGGATGTCCATGACGCGGTGCCGGTGGGAAGGCGCAGTCCGAATCCTCGTGGATCTGACCGGAAGACGGGATTATACAATAGAGGAGGAAGAGGCTGCGAGATGCGGGATGCGGCCCAGGGCAGGAGAGGAGAGCAGATTCGCCAGAGGACGCGAGAGGGCGGACAAACCTGTTTCGATTCCTCGAATTGGCGGACCGGTTGCCGGTTCCTCTCCGCGGAATGGGAGGCTGGCACCGGGCGAGCCGCCGTGGTCCATTGTCGCGCTCGCCTTATTAATTCCCGTCTTGTGTGCCTTGTGTCTTCGCCAATCCGAGCCCCGTCCGTTGGGCCGGAGTCTGCGAGCCCTGGACCGTTTCTGGAAACCAGAAGCTCCCGCAAAAGGAACGGGAAGCGAGACGCTTCCTTCGGGGAAAATCCCAGCGCGGATGCGACTCGCCGACCAACGCTCCCGACAAGAGACAACTCCCGACACACGCTTCTACCGCAAAAACAACCTTACGATTGGATTACATTTTGCAAAACGGAACCACTTTTCTGGCCCGTTTTAGAAACAACGTACGTGCCATTGGTTACCATAAGCAGATACGTGCTTTCAACGGAGATCCAGAGATAGGGGTTCCTTATTACAAAATTTAATCACACTCTCCCGAGTTTTCTCAACTTCGGCTTCTGCACCGTAATGGAGAATTTGCATGGAATTTTTTTTCGCTTCACCTGAGAGAGTTTAAAGAGCTGATTTCGCAGTATTTTTTATAATTTTTTTTCTGCTATTTAAAATAGCGTAAAAATGGATTTAGAATTGAGCAAATGCACCTTCTAGTGACGTCATCTGGCGGCATTTCTCATTTAAACACGTGTATTTCAGCAGATTAGGTCAATTTTTCATACCTCCGCCAATAATTTCTCAGTTTATGAACCGAGGGTATCCTCGTGTCCAGTTCACTCAGTGATTTCCCCTGAATCAAGAAATTAGTCAAATTTCAGACACCTGCGAATTCTCCATTCGTTAAAAAAGTATCACGAAGATTGCCACGGAAAAGAAAAATGTCTTTGCTTGCATTGTTGACAATTTTTAACAGCAAAAAAAATGAGCTTGAAATTGCAGAGATCCTCTCATCTTGACCAGGAGATCGGAACCCGGGCCGTGCCGTAAAAAATTAACCACTTTGAACATTCGAAAAGAGAGCGGGTAATAAAACTAAAGAGGTTCTCATCGAAAATTCCTGGCTGGACAGTGGATCATCCATATCTTCACGGATTATTCAAATCCACACGGCAGGTCTGCGACCGGCGGTAAATCACGATCAAGCTTTCAGCGCTTGGGAGGAAGGGTTGGATTTTAGGCGTGCCGAATCTGGATCCGCGGGGTTGCCGTTTCGCGCGATAGACTTTGAATTGGAACCCGAAAATGCGTGTATTTCGCGAGGATTCGGCAACACCGAGCGGGACATCGGAGCATCCTTTTCAACGGGACTTCGGGTCCCGGTCCGCGGTCAGGCTCGTGGTCAATGCTGTCCCTGTCGGCCCTTCGCCGGACTCTTTTTGTCCCTTTGTGATGTAAAATTCACCTGAGACCTGTCGCGCTGTTTTTCGCCGAAATCTCGTCTCTCGGGATGCTGGGAAGTTCCGAAGCGAGGCGGACCGAGGCGAGGTAGCGAAATACACGGATTTGAGTTTAGACTTTCTTCACTTCAAAAGACTTTTCTGACCCGAAATGTATAAATAAATCATAATTATAATCGTAAATGCAAGTAATTGGATTAAGCATTCTGGTCTTAAGTAAGAGTTTGGAATAATACCAAAAAGTATGGAAGAATTTGAAGGATAACAATTCTGTTGAAATGCTTCGAGAATGCGAGAAAATGCTTTGTGGTTTTTATAATGGTGTTAACAAACTTTAGGGATGAATTTCTAACTTATTCCCAACTTATTGACTTTTGACGAGATATAATACAAGAATAAGCGAATCGAATCATCTTATTGTTGGAGAATCATTTTTGCATTTTTACAGAGGAGGTGTGGACCGTTGATCGCTCCTTCATTTTTTAAAAAACTTTCCTGCTCGTTTTTATCTTTCTACCTTCACGGAGTAATTTTTTCAAATTTTCCTCGACCTGAAGGCAAGTTTTCGGACTTTCCCTGTGCTTCAGGAGAGGTAATTCAAATTCCCCATGCCTGCATACAGCGCCCTAGAACACGGATAAAATTTAGGAACTTTTGGGACATTTGAGCAATATTTAAGGAGACAGTTCCGTCGAAAGCTTCATCTCATCGTTGCTCAGGGCGTATCACAATCTCCACGTGAGCCTTATTCTCCGTCATTGGCGGATCCAGAAAATTGGCAACGTTGTCTTTTCTTTATTTAAACCTATGGAAATATATCGATTTTTGGAGGGGCCAGGTGCCCCGACAAGATTCGATTATTTGGCATAGGTTTAAATGAAGGAAATCCGGTGTTGCCAAATTGCTGGATCCGCCTCTGTTCTCCGTCTAACTATATACTTTCCACGGCTTATTTGGAAATATAGATACGCCCTTACATCAGAGAAGCGATGTCATGACACATCGGAGAACTGTCCTTGCAGATTTTCCAAATTGAGGAGTATGCGGAAAACTGCTCGCGCTAACGGTTGAAGAGGGCAAAAATGTAAAGGTCTCACCAGTATTAGATGCATTGTAAGTAAGTAGCGCTACGTGATGCTGAGAAAGAATGCCATGTAGGAGAGCTTTGTGTTCCGATGGCTCCCGTTTGATGTAGACGGGACCAGGTGGAGGAGGTGATCGAGGCACAAGAGGCACCGACGTGTCCACTGCAACAAAAATAAATCAGTTTCTGTTAGGAAATTCGTCACTTCAAACGAGGAAAATCGTAAAGTATAAGAAAAAATAACACAAAATAAATCAAATCGAAGAGGAGGCATCGTGATGATAAACTTGTCATTACTCTTTTTTCAAATTAATAAAATTTGATCAAATTTTAAAAATTTGATCAAATTTTAAAAATTTGATCAAAATTGTATCAAATTTTAAAAATTTGATCAAATTTAAAACATTTGATCAAAATTTTATCAAATTAAAAAAAATCGAGTGTCTCGATATCTATTTCTTGAGAGATGTTTCGTCGTTTCCAGGCGAAAAAACGTAACTGCATTTTCCCGGAGCAAAACTAAAAATTGTAATTTACTGAGAGACCTTTCCGACTGGTAATTTCGTTGATTCTTCGGCTGATTACCCGCAAAAATTAGCTCAATTCCAAATCGCATGCTTATATTTCGGTAAAAAAATTGAGTTGTTGAAGTCAACTTCACAGCCTCGTATGTAATAGTTACGTGCTTCCGTTCTGAACGCAGACTGGGAATCGAACCCAGAAATAATGCTTTTCAAGAGGAGGTCTCGTTCGTTTAAAAAATCAATTTCATTTAAATCAATTATAAAATTTAAATAAAAAATCAATTGCTTTTCAATATGATGGACTGAGGATTGACGTCTTGAGAAAACGAATCCACGGACTCAAAGTAAGAACAAGCATTTGAAGTGTTCTTTCAAAACGCGGCGAGATTTGAACTGGACGTATTCGTGCTAAAAGGAACTATGTTGCACGCAATCCCTATGCACATAGGTCCTTTTAGCATTAATACGTTCAATTGGACCCTCGGAGCCCGAACGGTCCCCTGCTAATACCCGCGAAATACTTGACCCTTGAAGTTCAAGCCTAACCTCTACTTTTATCGTTGCTTTTTCGAACTGGACACTACCTCTCCCTCTTCGCGCCGCGTCGCTCAACGGTCATTTTCCAACGTAATGAATATTTATCGAAAGGGACTCCGATTCTCCATGTTTCCTATTTTCCTTCTTCCGATCCCTTCGAGAGAGACATCCTCATCGTGTAAAATAGAGATAAATTATTTATTCGATGTATTCACGGTTGGAATTCGGAAACATTTCGACAGAGACAGCTGTCATTGAGATCCCTTATCCTCTTATGAAATCTGTATGGCCGTCTTTGGACTTAGTTTTTCGGGATTGTATTCGCCAGAGAGGGGCAAAGTTTTTAGAGAAACGAGGGATAGTGCGTTTAAAGCAATGGAGGTCAATACGAGTAAACCGTTTGGGCTTGGAGGCGTATTTCTGGACCTCGACAAAATGAAATTTTCTTTCGGTAAAATCGCATTTATTTAGGTAATTTTGATTTTTCCTTGGGTTGCCTTCGCCCTGAACTCATCGTAATAGAGTGTCTACTAAAACAGGCGGCCAAAAATCATTACTTTAAAAGTGCTTTTTCAGTACATTCCTAGGAAATTCAGTACCCCCTCACCAGAAAAATCCACTACTCTTTCAGTACCTTCATTTGACGAAATTCGAAAACTTTAAAAAATTGGAATTTCTCGCTCAAATTACGACGAAGATTCCGGACCTTCTTGCGGAATTTCCGCATTTTTTCATACTTCCGGACCGCCCTTCAAAAATTAGTACTATTTCCGGAAATTCCGGACTTGTAGAGACTCAGCGCAACTTTCCACGCGGAAGGGCTGCGAATTTCCCGCCGCTTGGCAACGGAGCATTTTGGGCATGGAAGCGTTTCCGAAGAAATTAGAAAGCTGGACGGTACCGCTAACCGGAAAGCGACCGCAGGCTCTTTCTAATGTCGGGCCCCGAAACCCGGAACACGGATGTCAGACGGCGGGAAAATTCACCATTTTTCGATTGATCCGGGTCCGAACCGTCCGGGAATCCCGCACATCCTGGCAACGCCGATCCGGAACCCGGCGACGGCGGAACCTTCGGCGAAATCTAAGTTGAACGCCCGCGAGAAGGAAGTCGCCTCGGGAAAACGCGGCGGATGATTTAGGCCGCGGAAATTTGCATTTTTGATAAAAATTGAAGCGCGTGTTTTCAGTTTTCAATTGACAATGAGTTCTGCAAGGATTAATGACCTTCCTTACGTCGTGCGCCGATATCACGGGCTATTTTTACCGGGTTTAAGCTCACCACACGTAGCTGCAACTTCGAGCGACGAGTTTTCCAGCATATTACAATTGGATCGATTGGAGCATGGTGCAAACGTAGACAAAGAGTTAACTTAACACAAAAGTTAGGTTAATGCGGGAAGTAAAACACAATATAGCCCAAGCCTTCGTCTGATTCTAAAGTTTCCCAGTCCCTCCATCGTTTTCTAACATATTTTCACCGCAAACTGTACCAAAATCGACACAAAATTTGGGTTGGTTTGTGTTTCACTTCCTATATAAACCAAGTGTAACACAAGCACACACATATTTTTATCAATGTGCATTTACCGAGAGTCAGGAACAATTATTAGAGGAACCTCGAAAAGTTGTGTATGCTCTTTAAGTATTAAAATTCTATTGAGTGCTTGTGATTACCTCCGGAACTTTTCGAAATTTTTGGAGCATTCCCCATAGAATTCGATTCATACTGCCGACTCCGCAACCATTAGACGGAAAACTATCCAGAGAAAAATGGAACTACTCCTCTAAGGGATCCAAGTACGTCGGAAGAAGAAAATTAATTTCCCGCATCCGGATGCTTATCATGACCACCAAAATGGACTACGTTTCGCGGCATATTTTAGGAACAACGTAAGTTCCCTTACTCACCCTACGCAGATCGATCTTTTATGGATGAGCTGGAAACAGATCCTTGAATCGAAAAATTCAGTCTACGATGAGCATACTCTAACTGTAAAGGAATTAGTAGTTGACGGTTGCTTTTCTGCTTTAGTGATACTTGTACCAAACACAACGACAGCTTACTTCCTTCCCTACCTAAAAGCTTACTACTCCGATAAATGTTGCGAAACGCGAGCATTTGAATGGCTAGAACTTTACCCTAGAGCTTTGCTACGCTCGGAGAGATCCGATCGGAGCACTTTCGCATCGCCCGAGGAGCATGGTATTGTAAGCGGAGCGATTATCATTAATCGGTCAATTAAAATCGACGCCCATCCTTGCCACCGATCGCCGGCAAACGAGACACGGCGAGCGGTAAGTCGGGGCTTTACGGGGCGATTTGACGACGCGCGCCGGTCGGTGTGCGTGTGAGAGTGAAATGAATCCGAAACGAGTCAAGGCGCACGACATAACGGAGGCAGGTCGAGAACGAGTAACAAGATCAAGACCAGCTCCTCTCGTCTACAAGCTCTGCACATGGAACGACCGTGCGTCCGGCTGTAAAGGGGGGGGGGGGGGGGTTACAGAAAAAGAGAGTGAAACACTTTCTATCTCATTTCAGCAGTTTTCTAACTGGATTTCAGCTTTACTCTCGTTTATAGGTGGCACTCGTCATGTCAGAGACGGGAAAATTTCAGACGTCATTCACACCTTACAAGAATAACTACGTGTTCCGTCTCCGTTAATAATAATAATAATATATGTAATAATATATATAATAAAGAACATAACCTAACAATATAAGTGCGGAACCACGTACTCCATTGCGATGTTTCGAAATCTCCGTTCCTGTTGTATTTTTTCGAAGAATAACAAGCCAACTTCACAGCTTGAAATTTACTTAGAATGTATTCTGTTAACAGAAGGGTGGACATGGAAGTTTTAAAGAGAATACGGTCATTAATTTCCCGAAGGAAGGATAAAGTTTGTTAAAAAGTCTACGACGTCGCAAACGGAGATACGTGGTTTCACACTTTGGCCATCGATAGATTCGATTGGAGCCGTATTGGACCATCAAAATCTATTGCCAAATACCTTGCATTTGACCGGCAGAAAGGTGCACTCGAAATCTTGATCTACGAAAAACATTTGAAACATGGAGGACATATAGGAGAAACCTGGAGGCTCATGAGAAAGTCCACCGAGTTTCAAGCGCAATTTTTGACAACTTCGAGAAATATCATAAATTAAAGTGACTTGCCGGCTCTTTTTATGGGAATCGAAAAACCCCAAAAATAAGAGTGTTTCCGCACCTGATTTGGTGCGGAAATGGAGTGCTTGATAATATAAAAATTCAAAATCATTTGATGAAAAGAGCGAGAATTGGATTCGGAACCACTGTGCGAAGGTGGGTTTTTTGGCGGGTAATTAGTGCGAGATCGGCGGGGCCGCGGTCGTTTCCCTTAAAAAAGCGACGTTGCATTTGTGGAAAAATGATGAGATATTCCAGCGAGATTGGCCGTGAAATGGCGGTTATTCTCTATGATCTGTCAGCGTCGTGGGTAAGTAGGCCGCGAGAGAGGCAGTCCCCGAGTAAAAGTAAATCTGTACGTCACCGCACGTCACCGACGTCCGAGCTTCATTCATCCGACTGCTTCTGGCGCGCCGTTGCCAAATCGTCCTCCAAAAATCCTCCAGTCCAGTTCATTGACATTGAAATTCAACGTCCGATGACTTTCTTCAAGAGCGTATATTTCGACCATGAGCTTCTTCCAGAGTAATCTGTCGTGCTAAGGAAGAACACCGTATGAACCTTCGTGCCTTGCCGATTCGTTCCGAATTTTCAGGAGAACCTGTGAAAATTTTCCTTCCGATTTTCTAGCGAATGTGATCTGAAGTATCAGGGAATTTCAAGCTGAAATATTCATTATTTGTTTCAAAAATTACTATTTTAAGATAAATTCTCAGATAAAATTTGCGAGCAAATTCTCCGCTAGAAACTACAATTTCTAGCCCGTCCTTATAAACACTCATGTGCGTAGGGAAACTAATGGTAGATACGTCGTTGTTGTACTGAGCCATGTATTGTAGTTCCTCATTGCAAAATATAGTCCATTGAACTGTGGCTTCTGTTTTGGTGGTCGGTTCTTCGGGCTCTTTTCTCCTGTGCCGTGATAGCG